CTGTGTTTGGGTTGTTATAGATACTGCAACATGTAGCTCTATCTATCTATCTATTCCATCCATCCATATTTCTCCCTTTCTCCATATAGGCTAATGATCGTTCACGCTCTCCGTAGTTCCCCTGTGGCGCGAGCACAGGGCGGCTGTTACGCGCCTTTAGCGAGCATGCGCGTTTCCTGACGCTTGCGCGGTGAATCGTGCCGCCGCACAGGAAACCGTATCTGATGGGGAAACGCAGCTCGACGTAACACCAGTATTTCCATCTGGAAAACGCTGTTTTGCCGCTGGAGTCCTCTTCACTCTCCATCCTCCCCTCTCTCATGACGCGCGCACGAGTCCTATCATGAAAAAAGTTTAATTGTGCGACCTGAGTAACGCGCAGTAACGAGGTGTCGGCAATTGTAACTGCGTTATAGTTACAGTAACAGTAATAATTTTGATTACTCGTTGCTGAAAAAGGTAGCGGCGTTAGTAACGCCGTTACTTTCAACGCTGTTACTCCCATCACTTAATTTTCCATTAGCTTTTCGCTCCCTGTTGGCCACGTGACTCCTTCTCCACGTACGGTCCCTACGCCATCTTTGTTATTTGTCGTTGTGACAACAAATCACAGAATGGGATTCTGGGATATATCTGCTCGTCTAGTGATCCTGGATGACCACTACGTTTCAAAGAGCATTGTGGGAAATTTCGAGTCCACTACTTTTGCATCTACTAGACGTTCAAACACTCATTTAAAATGACGTAACCACTATATAGGGCCCTATATAGCTGTTAGGGTGGATGTTTAGACACAGCCATGGAAACACTGCAAATTCACATTTCCTTTTTAAGTTTGCATCAATTCGCATTTCAGTTAACAGTAAACAAGGTTAGTGTTCAATACCAACACTTATGGAACGCACTCATTATTTTAAAAGCAACCAGATTGCAGTTTTTAAATAAACCATTCACCTATAGCTGCAGTGTAGGTCAGGTCAAAATGCATGAAGATAGCTTTAAACATACAATAAGTTGTCACTATAAGCTCTGTATCTCTGCCTCTGTTTTCACCCATTGCAGTCAAACCTTGTTTTCTTCGTCTATTTTTCTCTTAACCTGTCATGTCTTTGCTTTTATCTCCTGCCTGTATCTGCAATTAGGTCCGCTCCCACTCTGCCAGGTACTCTGTGACAAACCTGTTTTGCTCAAAGGAGTGATTTATAAATAAAGATTGACTTGTTGGATTTCAATTACTGTCAAGAGGGAAAGGCAGAAAAAAAAAAGTGCATAAACAGCACAGAGCTGCACTCTTAATCGCTCCCCAGGGGGCGAAGGAAGCTCTCGGAAATGCGAGTAATGGCAAAGTCTCACGAGAGGAAGCGAGTGGGAGAGTTGAAGGGTGGGAGTATGGGTGCCGGTGGCTGAGGATTTTATTTAATTTTTTTGAATCATAATTATTATTTCGATATTTTTAGAGAAAACAAGTAAAGAGGAGGAGGCAGTAGAGGAAGTGATAATTTTAGAGCTAATTTTTTTTTTTTTACGCTCTCGCATTAAAACCTTCCCTTTGGGATAATGTGAGCTCAAGTGTACTGAAAAATAATCCAATAATTTGTGTTAAAAATCTGTGTTTGGCATCATGTCAATGTTAAAAAACGGTCACAGTCTGTATGTGTAGAGCTTATCACAGGCAGTAACAGGATTTTACCAACTATGAACATCTAATATTAGGGATTAACTCTTGAGCCTTTTTTAATTATTTAGTCGCTCTGACCAGAAAAACAAACACCTTTCATATCTTTACCCAAAAATCTGTCCTACTGTGTTTTAAAAGCGTGCTTTTTCATACCTCATATTTTTATAAACATACCTCTCTCCCAACCACATCTTTGAAATACGTCACCAGCAGTTTTAGTCCTTTTATGCTTTAAATCAGAGGTCTTCAACAGGGGGTCCGCAACCCCTAGGGGGGCCTCAGAGGTACTGCATTGGGGTCGCGAAAGTTTTGGTTGATTAGACTTTTTTTTTTAGTGTAGTAAACAGATAAATGGAGGCAGAAGATGTCTTTCAGTCATTAATGCACACATTCAGCGACACACAGGAGCTCTTTCAAGCTGGGCACCGTTTCATTCACAACACCTGTCCCATCAATGAGGTATCAGAATCAGAAATACTTTCATTACATGACTCCATCTGTAATAGAGTGACTATAGGACCAGTTTGATATAACACAATTTCATAATATATATATAATTAGGGGGTCCCCGCTCCATCTCGCCATCAGTTTGGGGGTCCTTGGCCTGGAAAACAATGAAGACCCCTGCTTGAGATCATCTGAGTGTCATAATTTAACTAATATCTGACCCAAATGCAGAAAGCCAACACAGAGAGATCAGGGAAAAGTTTAACAGGTTTATTGAGAAGGATGTGTTGCTCTGAACCCTGTTCAACTGGAACTGGAAAGTGAGGGGAAGACTCTGCGGTTAGTTCAGGGTCAGTGGGAAATTTGATTCTTGAACTTGAAGAGGTGAAAAAGGTTGCAGACTAACGTTTCCAGAAAATGGTTGTCCCTTATTGACTCCAGTCGGTGTGGGATGTTCCAGTGTTTGTCTGTTCCAATGGAGGACGGACAGAGTTTACCCAGAATGCGGTTGTACGTTGGAGAACAGAGAGGCTGACTGCCACTTAGATTTCCTGCGGTACTTGAACGGGTTGTTGTGGAGATGGATTCCCTGC